ATCGGATGTAGCCAATATTTGATAGAATTGTAACTTACAATTTTGTGACTTTTTCAATCAACTACAATGTGTTTGAGTCATTCATGTCATGTCATAATAAGATCCGGTATAAAAGCATTTTATCTAATTAATATTTAAAATTATGCATTTTATTTCTTTATAATTATGTATTAAAGCGAAGTAATTGATGTCATTAATGGAATTAAAAAATTATCATAATACTTATGTTTTAAAATCAAACTTGTCTCCTGATTTACTCTAGACCATAAAATTAATTGAACATGCCAACAAATCAATACATTTCAATCAAATATGTCAAGATTTTTTTTCCTCAAGTAAGGTTTTGATTTATGGCCAAAAATAACCTGTATTTTTCTGACATACTTTTTGATCTAGGACCGATAGGATGCCTATTTGGGTATTATACCATATATTATAAAAGACATTTTAAATACATAGACAATGTTAACCTACAACATATTTTGGGCATATAAAACATATTCTCCGTTAACTTTGATGATAAAAGTAATCNTACAAAAATCAACTTGAGAGGCTTCATTATATTTATAGGTTGTAGTCTTAAAAGCCAGGGCCGCTTTCTTCGGCCACATTGCCCACATATAGGTGGTCTTCTCTCTAACGGCTATAAAACATGCTTATTAATTGTTCGTAATTGGCCCTCTATCATTATTGTGTCCCGATAATACAATATTCTTTGTCAAATTGTTAGGAGACTCTATCTTCCGAAGCTACCATCAGTTATTTACGACTCTTTTGACTCCCTTACTAATTTGATGCACCACATGCCTTTTTCTCATATTTTTTTATTATGGTGTAAAAAATGGGCTAAACTTTTTGCCCTTCTGTATAGGTTCTCTCTTGACCCACCTTGGGATAATTTCTCTATGTCTCTCCTCTGCTCGCAGTGTAGAGATTGGTTATAGTTGATTATAATGTTGATAAGTTTGCATTTGAAATGTGAAGACATATTTTAAAAAGATTAATGCAGAATGGGATGACAATGATCAAATTTTCTTTCTATGTATAGTTTGAGTATTGCTATACTATCTTAACTAAGTTCGTTTTTGAGAGGTATAACAGGCACAGTCAAAGTCTCATGATCCCACCAGTGAAGGTCTATTGNTTCATGTCATGTCATAATAAGATCCGGTATAAAAGCATTTTATCTAATTAATATTTAAAATTATGCATTTTATTTCTTTATAATTATGTATTAAAGTGAAGTAATTGATGTCATTAATGGAATTAAAAAATTATCATAATACTTACGTTTTAAAATCAAACTTGTCTCCTGATTTACTCTAGACCATAAAATTAATTGAACATGCCAACAAATCAATACATTTCAATCAAATATGTCAAGATTTTTTTTCCTCAAGTAAGGTTTTGATTTATGGCCAAAAATAACCTGTATTTTTCTGACATACTTTTTGATCTAGGACCGATAGGATGCCTATTTGGGTATTATACCATNAGAGAGTATTTAACAAAAAAAAAAGTATAGATAAGTTAAAAAGGGGGGAAATTATAAGGAGTTATACGAATTAGAGCTATTAGTCAAATAGTACACAACTCTTAATGTTAGGTTATTAATTCCTTATTTTTAAAATTTAATTGTGTCCAAATATATAATTTGATTTTTTGTGATTTTCTTTTGACATATTTTTTTGATAGTTAAGTTGATTTTTGATTATGTTTTATTGAATTAAAAATTTCCTAATATAATGGAAGAATTATATTGTCACAAAATTTGTATATCTTAGCCATTTTGAATTTTAAATTTTTTTGTCATTATCCTTATCATTAAATATATCTCTAGTCATTAATATATATATATACACACACACACACAAAATATTACAAAGTCACACTATAAAGCCTAGTTTCATTACTCCTACACTGTTTTGATACACTTTAAATTTGTGTAATTCTTAAGCCCTAATTTCTATAACTCGTACACTGTTTTGATATGCTTTATTGATACACTTTAATTTCATAAAACTTTTAAAGTGTATCAATACAATGTATCAAAATAGTATATGAGTAATAGAAACTAGGCTTCATAATGTGATTTCGTAGTATATATATATATATATTAGTAATAATTCGTGCCTAAAGGTACTTCGCAATCTAAAAACCCACAATTTTAAAATAATTTTTGTGTCATCTGCTTTAATTAAAGAAATTGAAATCAATCAAGTCCTGCCATTTTTTCAATAAATTTCGTCAAACTTTCCGCTAAATAAAAAGTCAAAAAAATCGCAACCTATCTACAAAAACTTATATATCTCATTGTATATATCATTATCCAAAAATATGAAGATAGAGATGAATGTCCTTGAAAAATAGCTTTTTAAAGGCATAAGGATATAATGAATTGACCATATTTTACAAAAAAAAATTGAATCAATATTGTCAACCTCAAGAATCATGTTATGGTTAAACATAACTCACTACCACAAAGGCCACCAACTTTACACATTCAATCTGCCGACAAATAGAACCAGAAATCGGATGTAGCCAATATTTGATAGAATTGTAACTTACAATTTTGTGACTTTTTCAATCAACTACAATGTGTTTGAGTCATTCATGTCATGTCATAATAAGATCCGGTATAAAAGCATTTTATCTAATTAATATTTAAAATTATGCATTTTATTTCTTTATAATTATGTATTAAAGCGAAGTAATTGATGTCATTAATGGAATTAAAAAATTATCATAATACTTACGTTTTAAAATCAAACTTGTCTCCTGATTTACTCTAGACCATAAAATTAATTGAACATGCCAACAAATCAATACATTTCAATCAAATATGTCAAGATTTTTTTTCCTCAAGTAAGGTTTTGATTTATGGCCAAAAATAACCTGTATTTTTCTGACATACTTTTTGATCTAGGACCGATAGGATGCCTATTTGGGTATTATACCATATATTATAAAAGACATTTTAAATACATAGACAATGTTAACCTACAACATATTTTGGGCATATAAAACATATTCTCCGTTAACTTTGATGATAAAAGTAATCATTTTACTTTGGTATATAAGTAGAAAGAGGTAATATGTATAATTTTAAACTATTAATCAGTAATCATTGATCATAATACTTTTAAACTTACATAAGAAATTAAAATAATTATACTTTACATATAATATATTTTTATAAAATAAAAAAATAAATTACATTAAAAAATAATGCGTAGGTAACTCCTTCTACATAAGATAGGTTAATTTCCTATGGCATTCTTTATAAGGGCTCAGTGTGTTTGCTGTGTAGAAAGGAAGTGCAGACTCATAATCACCTATTCTTTGAATGTTGTTGCACCAGCAGATTACGGACTTCATTCCCGAGGAAAGGGAATGTCCAATGGCCAATACTTAATTGGCCAGAATTCATTAATTGGTTTGCCACCAACATGAAGGGTAAGGGATTCCACAAAGTGATTGGTAGATTAATTTTTCTGCTTATGTTTACTTGATTTGAAGGGAAAGAAATTGCAAGGTTTTTCGGAATTCGTACGCAGATGTTTCTTCTGTCTCAAAGTGATCATGGAGAATATCAAACAAAAGCTCAGTCCCTGCCATAACATCAAAAGGAATATAACTAATATATGGCTACATAAACAATGGGGGTTGTCAATGACAATTTTTGATCCCCTTTGAGCTAGTTGTTGGATGGTGACTTTGTGGTCCTGTGATCTGATCTGGATTTTCCAAGGCCTCCTGGATTATCTCATGTTGTTGTGCTGGTGTGGATACTGCTGGAGTGACTATCCTGCTGTTCTTCTACCTGCTGCTTGTTGATTTGTTGTTTGTTGTTTCTGTATGGGATCTGATGTTCTGTAAGGACCAGTTGCTAGTAGTTTGCTGGTGCTTTTTGTTTCTATTTGTACTGGTAATTGTTGTTTTGTTTTTTTCTAGTTGCTGTTTTTGTTGGGTGCTAGTTTTACTTGTTGCTGTGCTAGTTGCCGGCCTGTGTTTTGGTTGATTGATGGTTACTGGCTTATGGTTTGGTTGGTTGCTGGTTGCTGTGCTTGTTGCCGGTTGTCGGTTGCTTTTAATTGGAAGTTCAAATTGATCAAATATGTACATTCTATTTCTTTGTTCATTTGAAATTTGTATCTTTATTGCTTTTCATTGCTTTGGGGATAGAGAATTTTCTTTCTCAACTTCAGATGATCAACCATCCTTGAGAATCTCTTTTGTACATAAACTTTTTTTGGATTTATGAAATTCATCTTATTTAACCAAAAAAAAAAAAATACTTCATACACTAATAGTGGTCTTACACATGTCTCATGTGCACAACTTTTTCCACAACAACCTACTAATAATTTTCGGACAAGATTACGTAGGTAGCCACAGACGTCAAACTGGACTATAATTTTGGCGAAATTGGACCATTTTGCTTTCTTTTCTTTCCGGTCAACACCATAATTCAATCTCTGAATTCTGCTACAATACAAAAAAATCCTACTTTTTTTCAGGTGTATAATTTTATTATTATCTTCTTATTTTCAAATTAATAATTATTCCACTTTCGTCCACCACTCATTGGCAACTAGGCTTATCAAGATTTAAATGGAATTTTAACTGATTTATATTTAAATTCGTTAATAATTTAAAATTTAATTCAATCTAATCAAATCTAAATAACTTAATTAATTAAATTTTAATAAATTAAAATTAAATTTAACAAATTAAAATTAAATTTCTTACCTTTTCAAAGAAAGTCCGCAAGCATATTTTTTACTAAAAGAGGTATGTTATTGGAGACGTTATTGGAGACGTAATGAATTATAACCAATGATATAATAATAAATTCATTAATGTTACAATAAGACTCATTATTAAATATATTTTATTATCATTTTATCGATTATAACTTATTATATCTTTAAATTATATTTTTTAATTATGTCATATTCGTGTTGGCGTCATTAAAATTTTTTATCCTTGCACGAAAACCCAAATCAAGTAAATCCTAGATTTCCCAGAATCTCTGTCCGAACCCAAATTCTTCGTCTTCCAATTCTCAGCAAACCCAATTCCTCATTTTTTTATCTCCATCAGAAGATAAATTGTCAGCCAATGGCCAAGTGTTTCAGCTTCACAGCATCGCGAGACTGGTGCTACAAATACTCCTTCACCTACGCCGGCCTGAGATCGTCGACCACCAACCTCGGCGACGGCACGGTCATGCACTGCTGGGTCCCGAAAACCCACAACCACAACAAACCCACCTTGCTTCTCATCCATGGCTTCGGGGCCAACGCAATGTGGCAATGGAATGAGTTCATTTCCCCACTAGTCTCAAAGTTCAACGTCTATGTACCGGACTTACTCTTTTTCGGCGAATCGTACACCACAAAGCCGGACCGGACAGAGTCGTTTCAAGCTCAGTGCGTCAAGAGGACGATGGAGGCCCATGATGTGAGGAGAATGAATGTGGCGGGGCTGAGCTACGGTGGGTTTGTTGGGTATAGTCTGGCGGCGCAGTTTCCAGAGGCGGTGGAGAGGGTGGTGATAGGTTGTGCCGGGGTGTGCGCGGAGGAGAAGGATTTGGAGGAGGGGATGTTCAGGGTGAAGAGTGTGGAGGAGGCTGTCAGTATTCTGTTGGCGCAGTCGCCGGAAAAGTTGAGGGAGTTGGTGAGGCTCGCGTTTTACAAGCCGCCCAAGATTACCCCATCTTGCTTTCTCTCGGATTTTATTGAGGTAACTGTTTGGAACTCGCTATGCATGTTGATTGACTATAAATTTTTCATACATTGGTGGAGTTCAAACATTGAAGTATTTGAATGATTAATTGGGAGTTTTGAATACTGTTTTGGAAGTAATTGTTGAGTTGGATTGAGTTCAGCATCTGTGTGAAAATTGTAGTTTATGATTTAATGAAATAACAATTGTAGAACTACACCATCAGATTTGAGGGTGAATCTAAAGGTGGAAATGCTACCATTGTTGCCTGATATAAATGTGAACTAAAGGAAATTATTGTGCTTTATCTATAAAATGAAAAACTTTTGTTAGACCATAATACCCCTATAAAAATGATTAAAGACAATTATATCATAATATATTTAATTACTCAATACCAATTTTTTTTTTTTNAATTAATCCTATACACCGTCTTTATTTAGATTTGTAGACAGATTTTTTCTTTCCAAAAAATTAATAATCTTTCTTTTTCGAAGTGTCGTTACAACAATATAGAGTACAATTCAAATCATTTGGCTGGCTTTATTCGAAAAAATAAGGAATTCATAGTCTTGATGTGCTATTTACTTGCAAGAACCTTCGTCATTATAACATTTTGTAATGCCGTTGTTTACTTCAAAATATTCAGATAGCTCAAAAAATCTGTCTACCTATCAGAGCCGCCACTTTTTATTGGTTTCAGTTAATTGATAACTTGATAGCTCAACATGTGTTATACATATTGATAACTTGATAGCTCAAAAGCGGATCATACTCGGCTCACCCATGTAGTCCAGCTAGGAAATTCCCACAATTAGAATTCCTAATTTCAGATGGTTTCTTATGATAAAACACACTAAATTCATCACCCAGTTATTGAATAAGTAAACAATTACACACACGCAACATATATAAATAGAAAACAATCAGTTGTGATTGCCTAAATAGTTTTTGGGCATTTCATCAAACACGTTACAGGCATGTCACAACTGGTCAAAAAACAAATGACCAAAACAATCCAAAACAACGAATTACATGAACTCAAGAGTGAAATGGAGATCGAGACAAGGAGGAACGAAAAATAATAGAAAAAAGGAAAGGAAACCGTACGGAAATATTTAATCGGTGATCGAGCCGAAGACGAACGGTGAAATCGACGAATTAGTTGTTCCGGTCATCGAGAAATGCAGATCTCGGCGTTTCGCTGTGAAAACTCTCCGTCGCAATGAATTGGATTGAGGAGAGAGAAGAATATTTTTTTTGCTTTTAACGTCAAGAGAGTGACCCATGGAGTGTAACGGTTGGAGTATGGAGAGGTGGGCTGGTATGTGTATTTATCATTCATTAGCTTTTAAGAAGAAACCCAATGGGTACCTATTTTAAACCCAAATTAATCCATAAATTTAAGCTAAATAATAGTACTCAACCTATTTTTAACTCATATTAATAAAAACAGGTATCCAACCCATTAATTTATGGACGAGTTAGTGAATTGTGGGCAAGAATTACCTAATTGGGAGTTTTGAATACTATTTTGAAAATAATTGTTGAATTGGATGGAGTTCAGGATCTGTGTGAAAATTGTAATTTATGGTTGAATGAAATAACAATTGTAGAACTAAACAATCAGATTTGGGGGTGAATCTAAAGCTAGAAATGCTGCCATTGTTGCCTGATATAAATGTGAACTAAAGGAAATTATTGTGCTCTATCTATAAAGCGAAAAACTTTTGTTAGACCATAATACCCCTATAAAAATGATTAAAGACAATTATATCATAATATATTTAATTACTCAATACCAATTAAATATCCAATAACCCTTCATATACTTTATACCCCTATAAAAATGATTAAAGACAACTATATTATTATATATTTAATTACCCAAAACCAATTAAATATCTAAATAACCCTTCATATATACTTTCATTTCCACATAAATAATCTATATGAATATCTATATCTATACATTTATTTATACTTCAAAAAATAAATATTTAGTGTACATCCAATTGATAATATGGATAATTCTAATATATTTCTTGATTTTTATTAGTATTTTTCATATCATAATCACAATAATTAATATTTAAAATTTTTATATTGTTCCCCTTTTTACACGGTGAATACATTAATTCGTCTTTCAAACAAGTTTGCATATCATCACAACAAGATTGCACCAACATCATGATAGAGCAAAAATGACTTGAGCCAAGTAAAAAAGCTTTTCCCTTAAGCAAGCTAATTTTTTCAATTTCATGAATTTGTTTGTTATTTTTACCAACTCCCTACTTCATATAGAAAAGTAGAAAAAATTTGTACTCTCGAGTCATGTTATATTTTTATCATTAAGGATCAAAAACAATAAAAATGTCACTATTGATGTTGCCATGAAAATGATGGAAATAATATTACACCTGACCCTTTTATTATACCTTTACCTTTTGTTTTAAAAGACCGAGAGGAAATACTTTTTATTTTCTCATAATTTAATTTATTATTTTATCTTAAAAAGATGTCATCTTTTGAAGAACTTGATATCAAAATCTACAGAGTGGTAGAACTTGTGACTTACCTAGGACGCTTTGGTTGAGTGAATCTCTAGGGAAAAATACATAGAGTAGTTGTCATTTTGATTTTTGTAACAATTGGATGTTCTAAGAACTCATTTGTAATGAGAGTAATTTTAAGTGTTGCTACAAAATTATGTATTACACTACATTACTTTGTAAAATTTACAATTTTTTTCATTAATACATGTGTGATCTCTTATGCTAATGATTACATTATTTGCTTATTTGCTGATTCGGGATCCTCATACGATTTTTAATTTCACTTATGGGCCAAAAGTAGTACAATAATAAATCTTGAATTGAGTAAGGTTCTAGTAGGAATTTACCTTGAATAACATTTTAATTAACACTAGCATGTCTCCTACGTTGATTTGAGTTTAATGTTTAATGTGATTTTAAAGTTCTCAAAGATTTTTATTTTTTTAATATTAGGGTACATGCCTCTTTTAAATTCTAGAAAACCCTTTAATCCGTGGCTAGAGTGGTTTTTTAGGTGTGGTCAAAGACCACTTGTTTTTTTAAAGATCTAAAACAATAAAAAGCTTATAATCTACATAATAAAAATATTTTATCCCATATGATATTTAAAATAGTTCACGCGCAATGTAGGTGTGCTTTCACTAGTGTACTTAAGTGTTGAGAGATTTGTTTTCGAAGTAATTAATGAACTCATAGTTGGTATTCAATTAAGATTGCCATTTTTTGAATTTCATTGAATTTTTTGTGGTACCCTAGAGTCAGATACAAGGCTGGCTTATGTAGAGTTAAAAACGCTGGAATCCTTCCCTTATTGGGAAAATTATGGCAACAGGGAAATATGATGTCCCTGTCTTGGTTGCTATAAAGTCGGAGTGCTATAGTATGTCTGCTCTAGTTTAATCACAAGGATGGAGAAAAGGTATAATGGTTAATGTGATTATCCAATTGACTTGATGATTGTTATTGTAATCTCGGATATTTGGTATCAGGAGTTGCCTTTGAACTGATTACACTTTGCATGTATTATTTTTTTTTTTTTTTTTCATAATGAGGGATGATGCATTTGGACTTAACCAAATACCGCCCGTCCATACTTTCGGGCAATCTGTTTGATCCCATGTAGTATCCGTTTTGACACTATACTTCTTTTAAGTTATTTTTCCAATATGGCTGTTGCCGTCAAGAATGCCACCTTTTTACCTTATGGAAAATATGCTTGTCTCAAGTGTTATGCCGTTCTTGGTAGGGTTGCTGTTCTGAAATCTTCTTTAATATTGGATGCTTCTGATTGATGTTGTACATTTGTGTGAACAGTAGCTGATGGTTCTTCTATAGTTTTATGTTGTGATATAGTGTCGATGAAATGGTAGAGGAACATTTAGTAAGTACTTGAGGGAAGGAAACAACTGAATACCGATTAAACTTTCTTTTCTTTTTTTTTTCTTTTTTTGTGCTGTGGAGGGAACCTCATCTAAGTGGGTTCCCTAACAAAATTAGTACCAGAAATGTCAGTCCTAAGCTAATCTAAAGTACACTCAGGCGGTGAGTCAAAAACCACCATCTTCTCCCGCTGATTCACATTCAAGTTGGCTAGGCAGTCTGTCCGCCATTTGGTTTCCTTCTCTTAAGGTATGTTGCAGGATTATGTTTTGGGTCCTGATGATGAAGACAATTTTCCACAAGAACTTTAAGAGGGTGGCTAACTGGTTGACAACCAGAAAGCAGGGAAATAACTTCAGATGAATCTGATTCCAGAATAAATCTTCCTCCAATGTTAACTGAAGCCCTTTGTAAATGGCCCAGAGTTCTGCTTTCATGCTCGAAGACTGGTTGATTCTGCCCATAAAATCTTGGATCCACATGCCTCTGTCATCTCAAACCACTCCACCAATTCCAGCTGCTCCAGGGTTGCCTTTTGAGCACCCATCCATATTTATTTTCCTCCAACCTGGAGGTGGAAAAGACCAGGAAATTAGTCCGATTGTCTTACACAACTTATCAGCTTTAAGGTTTTCAAAAGCTTTAAGTGATTCTTCGGCCGGAGAGAGAACCAGTTTGGCTATCCTACATTCAGTATTGGATTCTGGTAGCTCTTTTTTGATGAAGAGGATGATTAAACTTTGAAGATTTGATTCTGTTAGTTTTCTAGATGGAGAGGAGGATTAGAATTTGGAATTTCTCTGTCCGGAAAACTTGATCATCTAATTCTCTCAGCTGGCTTATACTTATCAAAGGTCGGTCACCTCTTAATTCCAACCCTCCCTCCAGTCTAAACAAAAGAAGAAATTTGTGTACTCTAGTCTTGTCTTTGTGACCTGGTCAGGTTGTGGTTTCAAAATTTACCTCAATTGTTCCAGAAGATACTCCCAGGAAAGCTCCAATGAGCTAACCAAATTGCATGTTAGAAGAATGAAATTCTGAGGCTGCAACTTGCTAGAATATGGTTTGTAACTGTCGTTGCTGGTATGTATGGTGGTGTAGCATTAATGATGCACTACCTGCACTCTTTTATGCAGTGAAGTTGGGATTATGGTGTAATTGCTTCTTTCTTTTTTTTAAAGTTGATGTGAGGAAGTAGAGTCTAATAATATTGTTCTGCCTGAAGTTTGTAGTGTTTACTTGATTGATGGGGGCAGGTGATGTGTACGACTTACATCCAAGAAAGAACAGAGTTGATCGAAGCCTTACACAAGGATAGAAAGCTATCTGACCTTCCCAAGATTACTCAGGTTCTGATTCTTGCGTCGTTGAAGTCTTCTAGTTTCATGCATTAAATTTGGTTTCCTGTTTAGCACTTCTTCATCCTCTTAATCTTTTATCTAATGACATTATGCCAACCTTATGCAGCCCACATTAATCATCTGGGGAGAACATGATCAGATATTCCCCCTCGAATTGGCACACAGATTGAAAAGGTATGTCTGAAAAGTATTTTGAGATTGATTTGAGAAATTTAATCTGCTCTTTCAGGTTCCAAGGGGGTTGATTCATAGCAAAAAAACACGATTTGCAGTATTTGATTCATTTCAAAAAAACACGATTTGCAGTATTCTTTGTTGCAAGTCTTCTTACATCTTATTGGCCACTGAGCGGGACCATTTTTTATCTCCTTTTTGAATATTTCTACCTTGACTTCTTTGTTTTGTCATGTGTTTTGTATTGTCAGGCATTTGGGTGAAAATGCAGAACTTGTGATTATAAAGAAAGCAGGACATGCAATCAACATGGAGAAGCCCAAAAAGATGTACAAACACTTGAAGTCATTCCTTATCAATCCTCTCCCACTGCCTAGGCATGAAAATAATGGCAATAGCCACAAGGAAGACTGACAGGTTTGGAGAAGAAAGAGTGTGTTATCTGAGAAGCTGCTAGTTTGCTGAGGCTACCTTTGTTGGATTATTGTGGTTGTGTATAGCAGACATCACAATCAACTTAGAGTTTGCCAAGTATTCGTTACAGAGTTTGAAAACATGTGAATAGGAACACAGAAAGATATGTTTATGCCATCACCCTGATAAGCTTGCTGGATCACCACAAAAATTTGGTTTGAGAAACTTTCAGAAGGACACTTGAATTCATGGTGGCGGTTGAGGCTGTGGGGGATGTTGTTGTTCTTTCCTTTATCTTTTTTCCTTTTCCTTCTTATTTTTGGCATTGGAATTCTACTCAATCTGCAATGGATCCAATGCCATTGGCATTCACATTGAAGAGGGATACTGGCATTCCAGTGATATCTTTTTATAGTGTCTTGTTGAATCCTTACATTATATAATTATTTTCTCATTCCAAACACGTGTTCTTTAGAGTTGTGAAATGTGAAGTAAACTCGGGATGTGTGCAACGATACGTGCATCTAGACGTCTCTTGGCAGACTTGAACTTGGACCTTGTGGTATTAACCATTGAGTTATACCATTAATCTATCTTGATGGGTTTACATTATATTTGCTTTATTGCACAAATATTGTGACCTTTACTATTGGAGATGTTGCTTTTGTATGAGATTTTGACAAAAATTTAGGTTAACCTAACAAAAATTAGACACTAATCATGGGCAAAACTTGGTAGTCCAAACAACCCTTGGGGATATGAGCTTTTACCCTAACCCATGGGGTTTTAGAAACTTATATCCAGAAAGGGTAGTTTCCAAACTATTTGGAATGAAGTTTTTCACTAGATGTTATTGGCAATGACATTTTTAAATGGAGATAAAAATAACTATTTACTAATGTAAAACGCTAGTGGAATCAACGTTTTCTTAAAAACATCATTTAGATCAACGTATTTAACGCTATCTCCTACCCCCCATTTCCCCTTTTATTCTTTCTCTTTCCATTCTCTCTAATTTCCCCCTTCTTTGAGAATTAGGAGCCTTAACCTAACCAGAAATCGCTACCACTTGCCATCGCCTACCATCACCAACCCCACCCCCACCATCGGAAATCAACCCACCCACTTCTTTCTCTTTTTCCATTCTCTTTGATTTTCTCCATTTTCTGAGATTGAAGCCCTAACCCAAAATCCCCACTACCCCCATTGACCCTCACCATCACGAACCTCCACCACAGAACCCTCTTGTTAGCCACATAGCAACCACCACTCCTCTGCTACTAGTCTGAGAAGGCCTCCACCACTGCCACCCCCCCCCCACCTTCAGAAATTATCACCACCATCCCCACCTTTAGAAATTCCCACCATCCCCCCACCTTTAGAAATCATCACCACCACTCCCACCTTCGGAAATCCCCACAATCCCCCTACCTTCATAAATCATAACCATCACCCTTAGGTTGCAAACCCAAACACATAGAAACGACATTTCGACCAGCGTCACACTACAACCACCACTCCACTACTGCTCTAATAATGCCTCCACCACAGCCACCTCCACAATAGGTCATGCTCCTCTCAGTTAAATGAAATAGGATTTTGTAGGGTGTTGATTTAGAGTAATATTTGTGTGTTAATTGAAATATAATTTCATTCAATAAGATTTTTAGGGATTTTAGATGTTAGGGTTTTTGTTATGCTCATGGAATACATGCAGAGTTGATTATTATTGAGTGTTTGTTTTGTGAAAATTGTAGGCTAATTTGTTTTCAAATTGGGTGTTGAATAGAGTTTGCGAGATTTCAACTTGATTTTTCTTTTTTGTGAAATAGGTTTATAGTGTCTTCATTTGATGAATGGTAGGGTTATTTACATTAAGAATGAGCATTGATTTATTTTCCTTCCATTATTTTGGAGATTTTGTGTCAAGTAGTATGAAATAGATTTGTGTATTAATTGAAATAGATTGTGTGATAATTTCATTCAATAAGATTTTTAGGGATTTCAGATGTTAGGGTTTTTGTTATGCGCATGGAATACATGTTGAGTTGATTATTATTGAGTTTATTTTGTGAAATTTGTAGGCTAATTTGTTTTTAAATTGGGTTTTCAATTTGGGTGTTGAATAGAGTTTGTGGAATTTTCTTTTTTGTGAAATAGGTTTATATGAATGTTAGGGTTATTTACATTAAGAATGAGCATCAATTTATTTTACTTCCATTATTTTGGTGATTTTGTGTCAATATCAATTGGTTGATTTATACAATCAACCGATTGATATTGAAGCAGATCCACAAAAATATTTATGATTTATTGATTTAGTCAATTTGAGTTATATGTTTCTTGAGGACTAGTTTTTGGGATATAATAAAAAGGTTCTCATATCTCAAAAAAATGAAAAGAACATATAGCTCCCATAAAAGCCTATCAAAAGAAGGAAAACCACCCCTTTAGTAAGGTCTAAGCTTTCCTTTCGTTATGCGAGAGTAGTTTTCAGACGACCTAATTATCTGCTCATGATGTAAAACGTCAATTGAACCAACGTTTCTATAAATTGTTTAGGATTTTTTATATGATTAAAGTTCTATAAAATTTTCATAAATGTCCAAGCAACACAATTTTGCAACACTATCTGGGTCTCTCACTCTCAATATACTATTGTAGTTATGTCTATTAGTCAGCAAGCACCACCAATGTCATTGTTTGTATCAAAGTTCATAGAATTGGTTTGATCTCCTAGTTTGTTAGTTTGTTTGCTCGACAGTTCCAACCCTAAATAAAACCTATACTCCTAAAAATAAATGTAATAGTGCGAGTAAGGATCGTTCCCACAGAGAGTATCTAGCCTAGTTTTATGCCTCGTGAACAAGGATGGAAGGGGGTTTGAGTTTAACTAAAACAATTTTAAGAAAATTAACTAAAGAACAGTTCAAATTAAAGTATCGAAATCAATCAATAGAACAAACCTTGATCTAAGTCAACATTCACCATCGGAATTTAATTTACAACTGTTCATCGATGCAAGTATATATCAATTCACTATCTGAATATTCACCGTTAGAACTATCTTCTTATCTTTCTTTAGTCGCAATTAATTAGAAAACAAGTGATCTAATTAACCTTAACTACTAAACAACCCAAGACAAGTACTAAAAGTTTAATCTAGTAGCATCATTAAGAATTAGAAAGATCGATGAAACTAAACAACACAAGCACAAACAAATGGATTTAATTTAGTCGAATGTTCTTTCTAAGATCTAATAATCTCTGATGCAGCAAATCATTAAATCTTAGTTGCATCACAAATTAGAGGGATCAAATAATTACCGATTTGATATCTAACCCAGCAGTAGATTACAACGAATAATAAACTAGCAGACCTCCTAATAATTAAATGATGCAATCATAAAAATAGGTACAACATAACATCCAATTTGCAAAACATAAATTGAACTATAAAAACAAATTAGATCTCACATTTTTATTGATTACGAGGCTTCCGTTTCCTTAGATCAAGTATTATAGTTTAGCCACACATGACTTTCATGAAAACTAGAAGAAAGAGTTAGAGAAAAAGGGGTATAGCAGCCTCTATATTATCCTCATTTTTCTTTTTTTTTTCTCTCTCCTTAAATAAATATAGAAAAATATCACACTCCCAAAACGTGTACAACTCAAATCCCGATATTATAGGTATTCCTTATCAAAACAGATTGACAGAAATTGTGCTGGAACTTGTGATCTTTTTTTCTACCAGATAACGACTGAATCTTGATTTGGGATCTTCATGAAAGTTGTAGCCCTGAATGTGTAGATAAATTTAGGCTTTTGAATCACCTGATTTGGATTTCGTAAACTCAAGTTATGACCCACCGATGTTAATTNAGATAAATTTAGACTTTTGAATCACCTGATTTGGATTTCGTAAACTCAAGTTGTGACCCACCGATGTTAATTGGTTTGGAAAGAAATCCAACTCCAATCAGGATTCTGATCAGCTTTCCAGGCTTGACTTTGAAACAATGTTTGGAGTCCCAAACGAACTCGGATTTTTGCAAACCATACCTTTCTAAAAGGCTTAAGATGTCCTCTAAAAAATTGATGAAGAATACTTTCTCAGTCTGAAACTCTAATGCCATCCAAACCTCAATTGAAGCTCCATAGATCGAACTGCCTAAAAGCTAGAAATTGCACAATAATACTCCATATCTATTCTTTTGCCTTCAATACTTCCCTTGATACAGTGAATATCTCTCAAAACTCAACATGAAAGTTGTATAGCTTTTCTTTGGCATTCGATAGCATCTTGAATCATCTCAATCGGAGCTCGGATGAAAGAGTTATGCCCAGATTATGAAGCAATGTCGAAATTGTCCACAATCGTCCAATTAGCTTCATTTTGCATTTAATGTCTCCATTTGCGTCCTAAATCAAAATATAAGAATAATGAGTATATTTAGACTCCAAATAAGTATAAAAGGCTAAATATTAAAAGAGAAAAATATGACATTTTACATTCTCATCAAATTCCCTTCTAGACTTAGCTTTTGCTCGTCCTCGGGCAAAACTCAAATTCACTTTCCCAAAAATAATAAGGTTGCAACGCCATTAACAAAGAACAACCAAGCTCTTCAAAACTNTATGACATTTTACATTCTCATCAAATTCCCCCAGACTTAGCTTTTGCTCGTCATCGGGCAAAACTCAAATTCACTTTCCCAAAAACAATAAGGTTGCAACGCCATAAACAAAGAACAACCAAACTCTTCAAAAATCATAATATATCATGAACAAACATTCTTAACAACTTACAATTACTTAGTAAGTATTTTCACTAAAATGTGGAGTAAACTAAATACGTAGACCCTCACAGAAGTAAACACTCGACTCTCATGAGTTTAAAGGGTATGTGTTTCGCTCAAATTCATTACAATGAAAATAATCTACCATAGACTTGCATATCTTGTCATTCTCCACCACTGGGATCACATGCATAACATGAATCATAAGAACTTTTCATGGGTTGTAAGGGGGTTTAGGATCAAGGCAGGAAATATTTGGGAGTGTAGCTCAAAAGCTATCGAAACTAGTGGAGCAAAAATGAATAAACTCAAGCTCGAATATATAAAACATTCAAAACCAATCACTACATTCAGCAGCTTCCACAGTCACTCCATTCAAACCATGTAAAATTCTTGCATTGAAAAAGAGATCGTTCAAAAAGAACACTTTTCGTTCGCAACAGGGAACAATTCTTTACAAAAGCTTCTACCTTTTTATATATCACATACAAACAGACCCCTTTCTTGGAATTTTAGGAGGAGTTATGAACATGGACAGTTTGTAACATTAAAAGCAATTTCCCCCATTACTTCCTTTCTATTTTTTTTCTTTGTTTTTTTGAACAATAAAAACATCAACAATGGAACTCATGAATTTAGAACGAGAACCTGTTCCATTTCACCAGTCATAGCCATACCATAAATCCAGACACCCCCACACTTATTTCTTGCACAGCCAT